GAGAGCTCTTTGGATTAAATTAATCGCGCTTGGACTTTTTGAAATCTTGAACTTCTTCTTTTACTTGCTCTTTTCTACACTGCTCTTGTGCTCTCTTCCCTCTTTTGATTTTCTCGCGTTCGCGTTTTAAATTCCGCAATGCTCTAACCTCCTACCTCCCAACAACCCTCGGTGATGCCGAATTAGATTCCAAACTTTTCTCGCCATGTTCGCCTCGCTGCTTCGTCCAAAACTTCAGCGCGGGCAGACCGAGCAGTCCCCATTCTCGACCCCCTCCCCGTGGTTTCGCGCGCACAACCCGCGACGCGTCTCCCGAGCCGATGAAAGCAGTGATGCCTCAGAGCTTCAAGAAATCGATGAAGAAGATATGAATCAGGACTGGGAGGAAGAAGAAGAGGATGGACCACTGGAATCTACGCCTCTACTGCCCATATTCTCTGCGTCGCATTTGGGTACGAAGAGATCTCTAGGGGATGTATACGGTGGACAATTGACCAACGGTGATTAGATGCACTGCCTGTTTACAACATAACCCACGCCATCCGTCCCTTGATCGCCTCCCGCTGCGAAACCACCCTCACATGGGACCAATTACGCTCGCCGCAGGTCTCCCAGTTCCTGATCAAGCCGATCCTGCAGAAGATCATGTCGGCCCACTTTTCCCGCGCGACCCTCTATGCATTGATGGCCAATTGTCTGCAATTTGAGAGGGAAATACACCTGAGTCCCGGAAACAGCGGGGCAAATCACACACGGGCAATGGTCAGTGAACTGTTGGCGATAAAATTATTGCGGGAATACTCGACCCGAGAATTGATCGATGCACTGTCCTACGAGTTCTATCCACTCCAGGGCCAGGATCAATCCACAATACTAGTCACAGGCCCCCAGCGGAAACGGGTGGTTGCTGCCCGTGTTTCATGCTTGGAGGTCGCTATTCGCTCGCAGGCCAAACGGTTCTTGGCCCATCCGGTCGTGGTGCAACAATTGGAGGCTATCTGGGCGGGGACGGTTGTCTTCCACTCTGCCGCCGACAATCTCCATCGTCCTGTGAATATGACTCAAGGTAGAAACCTGGACTACGGGGCGGCAGTGGATCCCAATGGGAACATTGCGACAGACTCGAGCAACAAGACACCTCGGCGATCAGTGACAATCTACAACCCCCGGGACGCATCTCTGTTCAAATTATCGCGGCTGAGGGTGCCGCGCTATCGACAGTTTCTTTCCACTCTATCATTTGCAGTACTCTTGGGACTGTTCCTAGCTGTTCTGGAACAACGCAGCCGCAGGATCACATCCCTTGAGATTGTATTCTGGTTTTGGAGTGCCGGATTCATGCTTGATGAAGTTGTTGGGTTCAATGAGCAAGGCTTCAGTCTTTATCTGATGAGCTTTTGGAATCTGTTCGATGTCGGGATTCTGCTATTGCTTTTCGCATACTATTGCTTGAGGATATACGGCACATTCCTGACCTACCCTAGAAGTCAATTCATCGCCGATCAAGCAGTAAGTTTCGCTATCTTTACGAATGTGCTTTTATCTGCGGTATATCCTAATAAATTTCAGTTTGATGTTCTCACCGCCACAGCACCTTTGCTATTTCCTAGGTTGTTTTCCATATTGGATCATTATCGCTACTTCTCTCAACTACTCATTGCGTTCCGGATAATGGCATCAGATCTGATCGCCGTCTTCGTACTCATCGTCATTTCTTGCTCTGGCTTTTTTGTCGCTTTCTTGAATTTTGGAGACAACAAATCCCCCAAAGTGGTGGCTTATGGTTTGTTCCAGATGCTGATGGGATTTACGCCAACAGCATGGGCAATGTGGGATGAATACAATTTCTTAGGAAAAACGATATTGACGGTCTTCCTATTCATCTGTCATTTTGTTGTCGTCACTATCTTGATCACTGTTCTGACCAATTCCTTTATGAGAATTGTCCAGAACGCAAATCAAGAACATCAATTCTTGTTCGCTGTCAATACCATCTCGATGGTCAAGTCTGATGCCTTATTCTCCTATGTGGCACCGACAAACGTCATTGCTTGGCTAGTGACACCATTCCGATACCTGATGCCGTTCCGTGAATACATTCGGCTCAACCGGACCATTATAAAGATAACCCACTTACCCATACTGTTCACAATTTGCCTCTATGAGAAGACAATCCTTAGTTCTCGAGTCGTTCAGCCGATGGATCTAATTGAACCTACCTCGCCGAATGACATCCCAGCTCAGCCCAGTCGATTCCGTGGTTTCAGCACCAGGGCATCGGTTTTTAGGCGAGAGCCCTCTGTGGCAACATACCAGAAGGATCGAGCGTTGGAGGAAGTGTTTCGACGCCCATACCGTGATAACCGAATCCGAGGGCCACCGAGCACTGTGCATGAACGCCAGACCAATAACGTCATCAAAGACTGGATGCAGGAGATTGGCTCTGGACCAGCCAATGGACCCGATGATGGGGATTCGCTAGTTGTGGACCAACATGAGATGCGCTCGAAACGAGCCAAGTTTCCATTCCGGGCTAGATTGGCCAACCAACCTCGAAATTTCACGGAAACGACCCGATCAGTTGCTTCGAATCCCGAGGACCGAACAAGCTGCGTTGCAAGCCCAGTCATTCGGCCTCGGCGCACAAGGCCCTCTGTCTCGCCCGCTCAGAAACGACAACTCTCCCATCATACAGACATGGAGGGCGATGATGAACTTACCAGCAACGATGGTGACCGTGACTCAAATGATGACAAACGCTTGGCCCAGGGGTCCACGGGCAAGACATCATCTAATTCGGTTGGAGGCGCAGAGAAGCTCTCGCCCAAGTTTTACAGCTCTCGCCCATCTACGGCGAGAATTATCTCGCGTCGCAACAGCCCTACACGTCGTGTCAGACATACGCGGAATGCTTCCGGGGTCACCATGCTGTACAATCCCGTTGGATCTCCGAATGAAGAGACGGAAGGCCGGGACACACCTCCACGACCAGAAGCCGATTCTTCCGATGGAGAACCACACCCTGCCATCTCTACCTCAGTAGACCAGGGTACCATGAAGCGTCACATTCTACATGCACCTCGTCCTCGGAATCCTCCGATTGGACTAAATCACATGTCCGTTCCTGAGATGGACAGTATCTACCTATCTGATCGGCCTCCGGGGACACAGCCTCGATCCACCCTTCTCTTCGATCTGGGATCTGATCTAGGCGATAACAGAGCCGTGGCGGGCGGCTTCACCGGTGCCCTTCCGTCTAGTTTCCACACCCAACTAGGGTTTGCCCCACCCGTCCTTCGTCGCGAAGCCCCAACCCAAACCCAAGACATGCTCAGCAAATTGGTTCTAGCTCGCATGAATAACATCGAAGAAGGATTCCGTGAGGTGATCAAAGAAGTCAAAGATCTCCGCCGCAGCGAGTCTAGTCGCAGTCCAAGTCGACCCGATGAGTCCCGGGGGACTACACGTGAGAAAAAGAAGCGTGACAAGAAAGACTCGAAGAAGAAAAGTACCAATTCACCCGGAAGCCGGGCTGGCAGTGGAAGCCCATCCAAAGCAGATGGACCTGGTGGTGATACCCTGTCCTCTACCTAACTGTTCATTGCATCTTCATTTTGGTGATGACACCATGTAACAAAAAACCCTGTAAATTGATTGGGTGGTTCTTTTGCTTTTTAGATATCTACTTTTGATCTGGCGTTGGCTTTTTGTTTTGCGGATACCAGATACCATCTCATTCGGGGTACATAACGGCTTCAAGGTTCAATGTTCATTAGTCCACACATGAGTACATGACATGTTCGTATTCCAAGCTTTCTATTCAATGCATTGACTAGAAGCAGCTCAATGCTATATACTGCCGATCATTTGTTCGGGTCTTCGCCATTCTAGGGGAACCATAGTTATAAGAATAGGTTTTTGGTGCCCATATACTCTTTTATTGAATGATAGAAGATATAAAACAGAACCTGAAAAAAAGAGACGCAGAGAACGCGCCACAGATGATACCAAGCGAGTAATAATTGTTCAACATGATTCCACTATTATGTTTCTTGATATCGCTCATGCTCCCAGACAGCATTTCCCCTTAGATGCTTCCTCCTCTGGGTACTTGAGATCCCTTTCGGGGCGCCCGAGCAGTGTGTCCATATGTCTCGCCTTGATCTGTTTGATCAGAGTCGCCACCCCGATACGCCGCTACCTCTTCCTTGGTGATGATTTTGCCTCCCTGGGGAGTTAGAAAGCGAAACATCAGCATTGTACCACCGATGACCCCAAAGACACTTAGTAGGGCGATGGTGCGAGATCTTGGATTTTCGTGTCAATATAGACCGACAGCTACTCAGGGGACAAATACTGACTTCATCGGTTTCCGACTTTGGTGAACGGCTTCTGCCATGGTAGCCATGATGGGGTTTGTAGATGGAGTTATTTGTGGGGCAAGTTGCTTCAATTCAGTTGCTCAGAAGTAAAATAGAAGTTCTGTACTGGATATCTATATAAAAAAGAAAGAATGACATTGATATGAGCACATGGTGAGGTATCCGCCACTTCTGGATCCCGAGGTATTGGATAGCTCTCTTATGGTTTGGATATTTTCTTTACTACCCTCTACCTTGTACTAGAAATGATATGGATGGCTGAGGCTCTATAGACTATCTATATTCTATATATATTCTAGACTATAGAGGATGATAAATAGACTATAGCAGCTGAAAACGGGGTTCCCTATTGGACAAGTAAACCGAAGCTTGGGAAGTGTGATTCCTATCAAATAAAAGAAAAAATTTGCTATTCCTTTCTAATCTCGTACTTTTGAATCAAATGACGCATGGCAGAAACTTATGGAGCACCTATGGAGCACCTATGGAGCTATTGTGGTTCGTCGATATGCTTGGCCCCCAAATAGGCGACACAGCCTCGGAATATCTTTATATAAAATGGACAATTCCATCTTTACTCCGTACTCCGTACATCATTTCAATATAATGGAAAAGAAAATGACAGGTCTCACGACCTTCCCACCGGCTAATGCGCCCGCCGACCAAGTCCGCACCTACATCACCCAACTCCTCGTCAACAAATATGACGTCCCCGTCGATGTCGCTGAGAAACATGCCAGTAAATGGGAAATTGGCCGGTTCTCACAACTGACACCAGCCTCTCGAGAGACCCTACAGCGTATCTTCGGGGACAATGTCGGTCTGTGTATTTTCAGTACGCTCCAGGAGGATCTAACCGAGGTCATGAATAAAAGACCATCGGCAATTCTCAGCAGTTGTATGTTTCTATTCTTTTCTTTTTTCTAAATAGTTTGAGCTGATGATTTGCAGATGTGGCCACTGCCTCTTCCTTAGCTCTAGCGTCCGTCCTATTACTGTTTTTCTTACCGGAATTAGGATTGCAGGCTATGCAAGGTAACTTTCGGATTCTCTTTTGATGTGAAGTGAACTAATTTCTTTTCTAGATCGGATCACGTGGGCTGCTTCCCCAGTCTGGTGGTTCTTGTTTGCTGTTTCTTGTGGGGTTTATGCCACTAAACACCCATTTAATGAGGTTACGATTGTATTGTCTTTCGTTGGAGGATTGGCGGCGATCACAGTGGGAATTTCACTTTTACTTGCAAAGAGATATCAAATCTAGATGGAAATCCTTGCCAATATACCTACATAATATGCGAAACCTCGGGCACAAATACTCCCCAAGGTATCAAGGCATCAAGGCATACTTACTGCCTCAGGCCCCCAAATCATGACCAATTTGGACCAACAGTGCCCTGATCCCCTTTAAGAAGGTCTAGAGTAACACTCTTTTATACCTATATTCTCATATTCTATATTTGGGAGCATATCTAGATATATTATATCTAAAAATGTCCAAAATAGACAGGTTATATAAGCAACTATTCTTCAATGTTGTTTACACAGGTTAGGTACCTATGTACATGTACCTGGTAGGCAGCAGAGCCTCATTCCCCATTTCCCCCACAGTCAGATATTCCTTCTTCTCTGTGATACTCTTCCCTCTTGAATTAAATATTACTCTTTCTAGTTAACATCATTGTATCTTCTCTTACCCTATACTCTCTGTATTGACTTGAATCTTACTCTTCACACAGCTACATCCTCATCTCACCTTCTCTTCATGGTCACATCTTCATGTCTGCCCAAAATGGAGTCATCTCACTCTTCAGGTTGCACACCTCAGAAAGAAATCAAAAATCTTGTACTATTACAGCGAAATCAGCAACAGGAACCGAATGGTGACACTGCGAGCGTACCTGACATCCCACACCCTGGACACACCCCCGATACCCCCGCAGTGCTCCCAGCAAGGCCCCCGGATTCTCAATCACTTTTCAGCCTTATACCTATGCCACTTCTACTTCTTCTCCATGGTGCAGATACGCTGGTGTTCATTGACCCTTCTCCGGAGACAATCCGATCTAGGGTGCCGATTGCCGCACAGACAATTCCCCATCGCATCCACAGTGAGAAACTATTGGCCACAGGCTCGGCCTACTTCAAACGTCTTTTCAATCCGCAAACGCAGATCCGGGTCCAAAAGCGACGCGGCTTGACTGGCAAGCTTCCAGATGGAATTCGATACGTCTTGGACCTTACACCCCCAACCATGGACGAAGATGCGGTCATCTTCTTGACCGAGCTTTCATGCCCTATTAGTATCAGAACGTGGGCCTCGAAACGGAATATATGGAGTCTGCCATGGCAGTGCGTTGGGGGACAAGATGAATTGGAACCCCTCGAGCCGCTTGCAAAATCCCCTACATCACCTGAGCCCCCAGTCGATACCGATATCGAGCATGTTAAAGCCTCATCTGAACTACAGGACCAATCTCCAGTATCGCAGCCTGAAACAGTGGAGCAGAAGCGCTTGCCGGTGGAATACTCTGCCTCACGTCATCGTGAAGGCATTGAGCACATTCTCCACGTTCTGGAAGGACTTAACCCTAAAATAGACACCCCTTGCAAGCTGTGGACTTTCTTTGCGCTCGCCAAAATATTCGACGTGGCTACAGTGCCGGCCATCTGCGACCACATCATCTCGTGGTTCTACCAACTCAACAACATTCGGTTCATTGAACTTCATCCTGAGATAGCATATCGAGTGGCATGTGGTATCAAATCTCCCAGCCTCTGCCGAGATGCTTTTGTTGAAATGGTTGGGGATGAAGCCCTGCTGTACCTGATTCGGGCCACACGTTTCAAACCAATCGGATCCATGGAAAGCTTGGTGCGGAGCCGGATTTCTGATGCTCTAGAGGACGCAGAGGTGCAGCGTATTGAATACGCTAGCAAGAGTTTCGGTGACTACGTTGTTCGATGTTTCTTACACTTGACCGGGAGTGAAATGCCCTGGTTGGCACACATCGCTGAGTTCCAGAAGCTTACCCGCCATCTTCAACTCTATCCCGCAGATCAAGAAGCTGTACATCAACTAGTCATGACGCTGAAGGAACTCATCCGTGAACGTCTTTACGGGGTTTTGGTCAAGACAAAAGACACAAATCGCTCATTCCATGTGGCTCCAAATTTGGCAAGATCCGAAAACCCATATCACCGATGGGGCATAGACAAAGGATTTATCCTTCAGCGATTGATTGGGAAAAAATTCTGGGATGCGCTGGTGTGGCTGGATCTCAGTCAAGATGAAGCACTTCGTAAGGAGTCTCATTCTTCAATAGCAGAGATTGGCAATGGCTCGCTGGCCTTTGGTGGTGAAACAGCAGCAAGGATTCGCGATGTGTCGCGTAGGGAAGTCCGCCAGATGACCCATGCGTTCAACCAAGCGGTTAGAACCAGATCTCAGGCTCGTCAGGAGGAAGAGACTCTGGCTGCGCAACATGCGGGAGGGCGCGTTGTGATGGAGATGACCATTAACGTCCGGCAGTCACAATCTGGCAGCAATGTTGACAGCATCTCCAATAACGGCTCTTTTCTCAATCCCATTCCTGCTCCCACCCCTAGCCCATGTCTTCCGCCTGTATCTCCACTGCAACCAACGACGGACATCTCAGCAGAAATATTCCAAGAAAAAACATTCAAGAATGAGGTTGAATCTTTCCTGAGGCGATACGCACTAGAGATGTTGCAACAACCTGGCCCAGCCACCATGCGACACGAACTCACAGATATCCTAACCTGTCTCAAATACAATGAATTCCAATACCTACCTCTATGGGCGGGGGGTAATGACGATGAAACGGGCGGTGTTTTCACCGACTTGATCATTCCCGCCACGGACGTCGGTGGATTCTCAGGTCCCGGGCCCGCCGTGCACACTGGCAGTGTCGCCTCGAGCAGTGATTTTCTCTGCGAGATCAAGTCTAATGACGCCCGGAGCACCATTTATGGTGCATCCCACAATGCAACTAACAGTCACGCTTCGGATATCATGTCCGTGGACTCTACCGATTATGCCCAGTTTGGGCTCAAACATGAGAATAATGAGAGCCATGATGACGCGCAGTGGGACACTTATATGGAGGTAATTGAGCATGATGATGAGACATCGTCGCTTGGGTTTGACCCGACTACCGACGAGGAATACGAAACACAGAGCGACGGCACCATTACCATGGATATGGGATCCCCTGAGCCTTCCTTTGCTGGTAGCTTCGAGAATGTTGACATGGAAAAGGTGAACGAAGGTAATGATGCTGAGTTCGAATTAGTTGATGTCCCCAAGTATCTTTGAAATACCCCGTTAGTCTTCCTTTTTTTTACTTTTGTTTTCTTTTTTTCTTTTCGACTGGAATTACATAGGCAAAATGTTTTCACAAGAAAGGCATCGCTCAAAATGGAACCTCAGTTACTTCTCTTGCATCTGCACGAATTGTCTAGGTGCAAAGGTGCTATGTTGCAGGCACCCCCAAAGTAAATCTTTCTACAGAGCGTTCCTATCCTTCCATCACCTTCATGCTTTCAATCCTCAATTGGTTCTCTGATGAGTTGGCTATATATGACATTTCCCTCAAATCCCCCAGCGCTGCAACGGTTTCAGGATAATCCTTCTCAAAAATCCTTTCTCGGCGGGTGTACACCGTCTCTGCAAATCTTTCGCAGCATCCAACTTGTTCTGTGATTTACATATGATGCTGAGATTGGCCATGGCGTAGATGGTGTGTGGGTCGTCTTCGCCAAGGGTCTCTTCCATTAAGTGCAAAGCCCGGGATGTTAAAGCTTCAGCATCGGGCAGTAATTGTAGCATATGATATGTCACTGCGAGATCGGCCATAGGGACACCCATGTGACGGTCCAGACTAGCCTCCATCCTCCTTAGTGCGTTTTCTCCAAGATCCATAGCCTCTTCTAGATGGCCTTGATCTCTGATTATGGAGACAGGTTACTCATAAACATAAGGGTTTCCACATGTGTCTCGCCGTGTACGATCTCGCAAATTCTCACTGCCTCCTTTCCAAGATCCTCGGCATCTGACAATCGACCTTGATTTCGATATGTAGATGTAAGATTTTCCAGAGAGGTGAGCCTCACAGGGTGATTTGTACCAAGGGAAGCTTGACAAGTAGTGACGACCTCTAGTCCAAGTTGTTCGGCAGGCTCTAGCTTTCCTTGGTCTCGATACGTTGAAGTGAGTCTCATTTTCCAATGTAACAGCGAGTTATGCGTTGGCGGTAGCACTCTCAAAAACTTTAGATCAAGCTTCAGAGCCTCGACCCAGCTCCCCTGCCTCTTGTATGCTCACGCCATGTTGCTCATGTTTGTCCATGCATAGGGATGATTCTCGCCGAGCTTCGCATCTCTAACCAGAACTTGATCTAAAAGTTTACCGGCCTCCTGCAATTGGTTCCGGTGCCAATAAGTTGACACAAGTCTGTTCATGCTTTCCACCGTTGATGGGTGCTCTACCCCCATAGTCCTCTCATTGTTCTCCATTTCTTGGAGTTCCTTAGCCACCTGTTAAGTTGCTGGCCGATTCTGCGCCTCTGAAACTTCGAGCTCGTCATCTGATCTAGAGCCCTCACTCGAAGCTTGCCCTTCCTCTATCACTGAAGAGCTTTGATTTGCTGATATAGACGGCAATGATGTTCTCGCTTCATCATCAATAATCGCAACTTGATAAGACTCATTTGCTTCTGACTCGGGACGAGGTAGGACAAAAAGAGACAATTGCTGAAGATGTCGAGCTAGATGCTGCTGGAATCGGCTCGGATTTGAAATGGGAGGTTTTGTGCATAAGGGACATTGCTGCGGAGAAGATGCAGATCGTTCGGATAGTTTCACCATGACCTGCTGTTGGTATTCAACGATGTTGGATCCGACTCGGGACAAACAAAGTTCTCTGCAACGACCTCGACCACCGGTGACCAGACACATGTCTTGATGCCGCCGCCGCCGCCAGCAAATGTGGTGAATACAACCCAGAATCAACCATTTTTCTGCCCGTACTGTCGTCAGAGAATTCAGCTCGAGAATATGGGCGAAGCCTGAAAATACCATTTATACAGCGACTTGCAGCCCTATATCTGCACATTCGGAGACTGCGTCAAAGCCAACCAACTCTACGATAACTACACAGAATGGAGTGAGCATGTACGACAATTCCATCGGAGAGAGTGGAGTTGTAATTTATGCTCATGCACTTTCAAATCCGAAGCTTTCTTCTGGAATCATCTTGGGGATGTGCATGCTGGAGTACTTCCCATCCTGATGATAGACTGCTGAAACGGTGGTATCCTGTGTCCATTTCGTCGAGATGCTTCGGGTTCCTGTGTTCTGGTTGAATCCAGTGGAACCTCTACGACCTTTTGCATGGCTACATCAACATATCTGGAAATCTTTTCGGTGTGATCCTTGTGGTATGCAAGAAGTTGACGGCATTTTGTGTTTGCTTTTACGAGCCGTTGGGCAAGTATACTATCCCGTGGAATGTTGTACTTGTCCGACACATGTTGGATGTCGTCAAATTCGATATGCCCAAGTTCAATACGCGACGCTTGAGCTGTGCGATCCCGATGTGCTGCATACTACGGATTGGCTGACGGATTTCTGGAGCAAAGACGATATCTTGTTCCTGTATTCATTAGATGGCACGGTTGACTTTGACAGCCCGTTGATTCGACGCAGCCTTGAAACTCGGACTATGGACTTGGCTTCTATATCCCAAAGTCTTCCAAGACCCTGATTGAATGCATCGACTCCATACCTATTTTCACTGGGAATCGTCCTCTTGGAGCTTTGGTACCGGGAAGTGTTCGAGATCCTAAAACTTGAAGTGGAAAGAAAGATAGTATGTATCATCCACAGCCACTTCTCGGAGCTTATAGGTCTGACTTGACAATCTAGTCACCAGAGTTCTCCGACCCTTTGACAGCGCAACGATTGGCCAATGATGTGGACTCTGGTCCGAGCTATAAGAACAGTGCCTTATACACATCACTGAACAGAACAGAAGTTCCAAAATGAGGTGGAAGAGTTCTCTCTCCCTTGGAAGAGGGCTTGAAAATTTACTGTAATATAAGGTCAATAGAGGATTGTATACAACATAAACTGGTTATAACTAGCAGTTTCAAACTGCCAATACTTTTCATATCAGAGTTATAACTCACAACTGTCAACGGGGCCCCGGGGGCGTTTGAGGCTGACTCAGCCGCTTTGCACGAACCCCAGTGCAAGGTACTCCAGATTTCAAGATTTCAAGACCTCAAGACCTTTCAAACTACTTGGCTCCTTTATCTAAGTATTACAAGCGTTTGAATCCTACAGGATTCTTCATCATTTTGACTTACGCCTGTTTTCTGCTACGATTACTCTAAATTTGAGGTTACGGCCACTGACATCATATCACTATGGCTTCATCTTCCAAGACGAGCTCTTTGCTCTAGTAAGTCTGGCCGTGACATTTAAGCGGTCTAAAAAAGTTATTTCCAGACTAACAATATAATCAACTTCAGCTCTTGCATCGCCCACCGCACTACTATTCTAGCCGAACACTCCTCGCCGGGCAGTTCATCGACCGCCGCCTCGTCACTAGCCTCCATCATCCTCCCAAAGATCACACACGACAAGCCACAAAAGCTCACCTTCACCCATGAACGACTCTTTGTCCACTATATTGCCGACTCCCCAACCGGCAGCCAATCCGACGATGGCAACATTGCAGAGCCCAACTCACACGCTCCCCTGAGCTTCGTGGTAGTTGCGTCAGCAGAACAAGGCCGCCGCATCCCATTCGCCTACCTGCTAGAGATGAAGCGCAAGTTCTTGACTACCTACGAACCATCCACCACTGAGTTCGCCTCACTGCCCGCCTACGGCTGCGCTGCCTTCAACAACGAGCTGCGCTCTCTCCTACAGGCCTACAACACCGCCCCACCAGCCGATTCACTCGCGTCAGCCCGGCGAGAGATTGACAGCGTCCGTGATATAATGACTGAGAATATCGAGCGGGTCCTGGAGCGCGGCGAGCGCATCGATCTGCTGGTTGACAAGACGGATCGGCTTGGCGGGAGTGCGCATGATTTCCGGATCCGCAGCCGGGGACTGCGGAGGCGGATGTGGTGGAAGAATACCAAGTTGATGATTATGATGGTGGTCGTCGTTATATTCTTGCTATATCTGTTCATTGGTATGGGGTGTGGACTACCTGCATGGGGGAAGTGTGTTGGACACTAGCGCAGTTTCGTGGCTAGTCGAACATTTCAGCGAGCGTGTTTCTTTTCAAATATCCGGTTCCTGAGGTTGCTTTCTGGCTTTCTCATGAGACACGATGCGATGTTATCTGCTTTCCTACTTTGTCTGGGTTTGCGTCACTTTTATTCGTTGGATTATTTTTGTATATTAAAGCATCTGATTTGTATTCCCTTAAGCTATCGAAATTTGCATCCATTTTACATAAAACTTAAGTGATGGAGGTGAGTTGGTTGTCTATGTAGCCAGTGGTTTGATATGTCTCCACCACTCTTGTCAAGGCTTAGCTATTGTCAATGAAGAATTTCTTGTATATTGGCATAAGCTGACAATTTGTTCAATAAGCCATAAATGTCTCGTGAGTTGGTTGTCTAGTTGGATTTACTAGTTCTACTAAGCATGACGACAAATAGACATCGCATCTAGCCCTTGAGTTGCATGTATAAGCCAAGTACATAACAGAAATTTCTACCAGTCATCAAAGAGAACCATGATCTTACTCCAGTGCACATATGGTTAGACAGTAGAGCTGCTAGCAGTGTAGGCGCATTTGGACTTTTGTTGATTTTCAAGGTTCATTCATAGCCATTGGAGTCTGCCGCTCTGGACGATACGTACAGCCAACCAAAGCAAAGAGACATACGGAGTGCTGATATTGAAAACAAGTGTTAGGAAAGTTGAGAGGAAATATTGACGAAAGTAAAGTAAATGAATTGACAGGAATATCCATTAATCCCCCACACCGAATCTATAGAGCCAATTTTACAGTCTACAGCTTATACCTATACTCTAACTAGGAGTAAGATATGTCCCTCACCATCAAACCCACTGCGTCCTTGCCCGAAAGCATCAGAGTGAGTCTGCAGGTAAGACAGAAACTACCAGCTTCCCAGTAGCCCTGTAAATTGTCTACGCCAAGTGTTTACCTCTTCAACCATAGATTCCGTCCTAAAAGGCGCGGGATTGACGAGGAGATATATCAGGCGACACTTCTGGTTTCCAATAGGGAGGAATTGGAGACGGAAGCGAATAGAGAAATGTCGCTACAAAACTGAGCAAGCGAAGGGGAAAAAAAGCTAGGCCGGACGAGCTGCAAACTGGACACCGACCGAAATGGCCTGAAGATTGAGCTGTAGCATTCGACGGACGTTCCTATGTGCGCGGGAGACGTAAAGAAGAAGAGCGTCGGCTGCGCAAAGTGCTTTGCCCTGCGAGCACCGACTCCAGAGTAGAAGAAAAAGGAAATTTTGTTCATTTTTCATTCATCGCAATGCACCTGGTTTCAGAAACTTTACCCTGATCATAGCAGGCTGGAAACTCCGTTTCTCAGAGTCCCTTCAATTGAACCCGCGCCGTCAACCGCCATTGCAACATGAACCTATACCCCACACGTAAGAAATCCCTTAAGTCGACTTGCTCTTAGCAGCCTCACGACCCTTGGCGATGCGCTCGATGATCTGCTCACGGTCCTTGTCGAGGTGCAGCTTGGTGATGACGACCTTGGAAGGGTGGAGGGGAATGGGAACGCTCTGGCCGTTGCTCTTGTCGCGAACGATCTAAAACCGCAGTAAGTATCGACCGCATCAATTATCATGTAATTTCGAATCGTACCTTCTCGACGAAGATGGAGAACTTGAGACGGTAGACGTTGGTGATCTTGCCCTCACGGCCCTTCTGGGAACCTCTGGCAACAACTGTATACAAGTCAGTTTCAATTTCTGGAGGTTGGTCCCAGACTGCATCAAGAATAAAACTCACCGACTTCGTCGTCCTTGCGGATGGGGATGGAGCGGATCTGTCACGGAATGCTGGTTAGAATCGTCGTGTATTGTGTCATGCTGGTGCCTGTATCTTCCGTAGTTTCCCATCGCGAAAACTCTACTCGAACAGACCCAGATTCGATATGGAGGTTGATGTGGTACATACTCCGTACTTCTCCTTGAGTTCCTTGGAGACGGGGGCGCTGAGGATGACACGGCGCTCGCTGGAGGGGGCCTGGAAGTGTGCCTTGCGAGACTTGCTCCGCGAAGAGGCGATACCTGGAGACACCATCAGTATTGAAAGTTGAAGATTGGCGAAAATTCGTATCGATAGGGGTTTCGGGCAGTGGTAAATCAATTCGGCGCAAGGCGATATGCGAGAGAGTACGCACCGTGGGTTCGGACAGCCATCTTAAAGGTCGTGGGGTGTGAAGTGAACGGGTGTCGTTGGCGTTGGTCGAAGAGAGGATCTTTTCTGGTGTAGCCGAATATTCCAAGTTGGAGCCGGATTGTGTGCTTACTAATTTCCCGCTAAGCCGTCTCAGGGCTTGCAACTTGACACCTGACCCATAAGGCAGGAACAACCTTTGATTTCATTGGTTGATCGCGGGATCCACCTCCGACGCGCTTCGCTATGCGCCTCGACAACATCTACGCCAGGCCAGCTTTTTGGCCGCGCTTTTTTTTTAGGACTGTGAGAAGTTCTCTCTGGTTCTTCAATTCTGGTCTCACTTTGCGGCTGAGAATCTACTTGGGCTTATTTGGAATACCCGGATTTTCCCTGTTCGGCCGCGATTCAACCCCCTCTATGCGCAACGGATTGCGATCCAGTCTTTTCTTCGCTCGGTCCTACAACATCCCCAGCGATGAGATTCTAGCTGCCAGATAGCTTCAGCATGATTTGAAATGTCTAACGGAGGCATGGATGGATTCGATTGGCTACAGAGTTTTCTTCCAGCCGATAGTCAACCCGACCACGACTCCATTGCCAACATTGAGGCCTACCAAGCACATCTAGCATTTCACGATTCGGAGGAGGTGGCTAAAGCGGCCGTTATGCACCAGCAGGCACAGAGGTCATATTCATTTATGAGGTCAACCAATCCTGGGACGAATCATGCCTTGAATCCTTCTCAGGTGTACTCACAAGCTTCGGGTGGACAGTATAGAGGAAACCAAGACCAGGAAAGCAGCAATGTTCAATCTAACAATTCTGCTTCCGGGCCCTCTGTATACCCAACACATCGCTCTCACAATATAAGTCAGCGGCCAAATCCTACCAGTCCATCTCAACATCAGTTGACTTCTCGGGTGCATCAGGATGCATATCGCCATGGTCAAACTCATATGGATCCCGCTGACCCCTCACAGAGGCCTTGTAAGTCCATCTCAAACTCATTAGAGGCCGATAAAAGCCCTCATAGGGCACATGAAATTACCAGGCCGACAGCCCCTCCACAGAGAACGAACCAAAACATGGCACGACCTCTGCCTGCATCACAAAACCCGTATCAAGGCTACTCGGCAACTCCAAATCAGCATTCCCAGATGTTAGATCAATCGCACATGGGACAGGGAATGACGGCACAAGGTCAAAGAAAATACACACCGGTGGCAAGACCCCAAGCATCACAGAGCCCATACCAAAGTCATTCCACGATCCCAACCCAGAATGTCCAAAGATCATCTCACTCGCATACACCGCCAAGCTCCCACTCAATGGACACTGAGCTTTATAACCCCTTGGTGTCGCCGAAGGGATTCGATACTTCTGCAGCACGCAGCACCCCTGACCCGCGCCAGTTGATCACACCAACCACAAGCACTCGAGAGGGTTCCAATCCACAAACACAGAATTCGGTTACCAATTCCACCAGATCAAACCCGATACCACCTAGGCCTTCATATCAAAACTATGCTCATGTGCAGTCAGCCGTGCCAACTGCACCTAATGGGGTCCAGAGCCCTGCAACATCCCAGGCTGTCTCAACCCGCAGTCCTTCTGTCTCTATTGTCTCCTCTGATCCTGCGTCTGCCCCTCCGGCGCCACCTGCGCAGATAACTACTGTTCCGCATCATTTGGACAAGGGCAGGACCCAGGAGAAAAGAGGAACTCAGGGTAAAGCACCGCCTACTTCATTATACCAGGCACCAAATCAGACAAGTCAGCAGCCTCCGATCTCCGAGCCAAATGAGCAGAGCACACCAGCGGCATCCTCATCATTTGCGTCATCCAATCCTCCTGCAGGCCCCCACCCGGGGCCTTCTTATAACTCTTCGTATACCTCGGGACCTCGCCGAGGTACCTTCTCTGAGTCGGCCATGGCACAACAGCATGCTGCAAGGAATCCACAGTCGCGGGGTTACCCACTGCCGGGACCATTGCAGCATCAGAAAAAGCGGTGGGTTCCGACCCAAGAGCATTTGAGTGGCTCTATGCCACCCGCAAAGATACGACGGTTGGATAATAGGACAACCCAAGACGGCACGTTAACGAGCGGCTCAGTGAAAGGGGCACAGATTTCTATGGAATATCCTCGGCCTCGAGGCCCTGGTAAAATTCTTAAGAATCGTGATGACCTGGTCCAGCCGATAAGACGGAGCGATGCACTGCCCAAGCACACTTATGATCCCGCCACTATCGCGCGGGATGTGTTGATTGCCGCGGGAAAACACCCGACGGAAAAGATTCTAAATCATCATCTTGAAGGATTACGTCGTAATTTTACCAAAATCCACTACCTTGCAGACCTGGCAACGTTTCGTTGGGACCTTGTGGATGTTAAGCAGCCTGAACCTCAAGTCGTCGATCGCATGCCTCCGGTCCCTACACCCCAAATACCACTTCGACCGCCTCCTCATCCTCAACCACCGCAGTCAGCTTGGCAATCACTTCCACGTGATCCAGATGCTGTGATACCAAACCACGTGACTGTAAGTGATTTCGCTCCGATGCCGTCGCGTGACACACCGCCCAATCGCCCAATCGCAATGCCAACAAGGATCGACGCGCGTGCCCCTCCGGGCGGTTTGAGTGCTTGGGGTACTTTACCTTTTAAACCGCCAACTTATAATCCCCCTCAGCCAATTTATTCTTCAAACTTGCCTTCTGGACTTCCTAGGGTCGACCCTGTGCCTGCATCCCCGCAGTCATCACACCAATCCGTCCCCTTCCCGGCTTCCCCACCGCCGCAACCCCAACAGCGACGATTGTCCACCGCGAAAAGTGCAGATCCGCCCAAACCTCCGCATACGGCAAAACAATCGACGCCTAAATCTACAGCAAAGCCTAAACCCCCAGCACAGACGGCCAGAAGCCAATCGGACTCTAGTCGCACCGTGAAATCCCCAGAGACAAGGCGCCTCCCCCAACCACAAGTCGTTATACCATATTCACCACACAAGATGCCCCAGAACCAGAAAAGAAGGCCAGGGCGACCCCACAAGACTGGAGCGAACCATATTGAAGTTGCCATTCACCGTGAACAGCCCGTGAATTATCAAATTTTCCCATGCAAATGGGAAGGGTGTGCTGCAGAACTCCATAACATTGACTCGGTGCGAGCTCATCTTATCAAAGTTCACATCCCGCACTCTCTTATTTGCAAATGGAAAGAATGCGGCAACAAGACGCCAATGGCTGCAGCAGATATGTTTATGCATGTGTCGAACGAGCACATCTCTAAAATGGCTTGGCGGCTTGGGGATGGGCCAACGGTGCCAATAATTGGTGAGAATCATGACTAGCTTGCGCTTGATGCTCCTCTTAGGGGCTGATCTACATACAAACCTCTAGATCTGAATAAAATGTCTAATCAGATGAATTTTTTAGCGGAAAACAAACCGAGCTACCCTTCCGTTCTGGGTGATCGCAGTGCTCGCAAAGGGACCATGGTTTTGCCAGTGGATGAACACCAGGTCAAGGCGTTCAGCAAGGCCCACGGGAAATCGACTGAGAAGACAAAGGCACAAGCGCTGCTCGAAGCGGGACGACACTGGAAGCAACAGGTCGGACCCGAGATGGATTGGAGTGACCGCCGTCTGTCGACACCAGCTCGTCAGAGCAGAATCCACTGCGGTGAAATGGCATTTGTTGGGGAGGATTGATGCGTCAGATCGACTTTTGTGATACCCTGGTTTTCCCTTTTTTTTTTTTTCTTGCTGGGATTCGGTTGCACGGAGACTGATTTACATGAGGATTGGCGTTGGATATCATAATATGCCATCTCGCTATGGCAGGCAGTGCCCACATTATTCACCCGGATGATACCTCAAAGAGGTCCGTCCTCCTTTTATCTATGAGATCTATACGGTGGATTTCCTAGGAACCGCACAATTTCAAATCAAAGAACATTGATGAATAAAGCCACATTGGCAATGACTGCCTTTTCCCTCCAACTGATTGGATTTGTAGTGTACAATTGGCTTGTGGCTGACCTGCTGGTAAAAATAAAATCAAATGCTGTAGGCACTGGTATCTTGGTTCGCTGTTGGATTCTTGTATTCCTTCTCTCCGAGTCGCAAATTGGACTTAATTCCCCTTCCCTAAAGCTGACACCCTGCCTGTGGACACCACTGGGACATTCTCCTTAATTTGGCTTGCTGATTCAGCAGACTCTGGTTCCTCCTCGCTGGAATTGACATCGAGGAAGTGGTATAGGACAATCATCATCATGGCGCAGGAGCCAAGGAAGATGGCAAGGCGGTAGAGGTCATCGTCGGAGATCATTGTGAAATGGAGAAACGAAGTGGTCACCGGTAAAAGCAAGAGACCAAGCGTTAAGTGTTGAGGGATGATATAGTCGGAGAAGACACGTCGGCCAGTAGTTCGAGTTGACGGTACACAGTTGTGTAATGATATGTCCCAGAAGTGGAATTTTGGAGGTTTAACTTAATAAAGAGGATCGAGAAGATTGAAATGATTGAAAGGTAGAGAGGTAGAAGGTAGGAAGGTCGAGTCGTAGAGAGGTAGAGAGGTAGAGAGGATATGAAGTTGATGAGTGAGCTAGGTATGTAATGTAAATGTGAAGTACGACGTTACAGTGTAATGTACTCCTTACATAGTAAACCATATGCATGGTGACCTCGTCACATTTGTAATATTGTTTTTGTGTCTCCTTTTCTTACTTCTCTCTCTCTCTCTCATCCTTTGACATTTGTTGATATATAATCTTCCCAGAGAGAGAAAGAGATCTTAGTTCAAGTGTTTTAGTGCGTAACGCGAATTACCATCCCGACAAACATCCCTCTTCCCCTCGATTCATCTTTTTCTCTTTATTCCCTATATGCGTCTTTCTTCACCATGACCGAATTCCAGACTACTACTGGGTCTAAACCAGGTCCCGCATTACTGGCCTGTCTTCAGTGTCGGCACAAACATCTCAAATGCGATGGCAGGACTCCCGTCTGCAGCCGTTGTGAACAAGCCCGATCCCCTTGCGAATATACTAAGTCCAGGAGAGGTTACAAGGGCCCCTCGAAAAAGCGCCGCGCCAACTCGCCAGATTACTTGCCTATGGATCCCAACACGGTAGGCTTGCTTGATGTCCCCGTGGATTGGACCTTACAGGCTGGCTTCACTTATGCGCCAACCGTACCCTTGCCCTCATCCGCCTCGACTAGTCCCGGACTACACGGTCTTTCGACACCAATTGTTCCATCCGCTCGCCAAATCAGCGGACCCTTGACCCCGGAGTCATCCTCTGCTGTTGGCGGGGATGGCTACCTGCTCGATATCTACTATAATTATTTCCACGCCGCCCATCCAATCCTGCCACCCCACCGGCTCCTAAATCGCTACATCTTCCCCGCATACCTGGAGCAGGTGATGAAGTTCATTGGTGCTCACTTCACCCCGGCCGCCTCGAGCGACACGTACCGGCCGACGGTGGTCGCAATGGTCCAAGAACAACATTTGTCGGTGGAAAAGGTGCAGGCGCTGCTTCTGCTGGCCATTGTACTTCACTCAGATAATGAGCGCGGAGAGGCCGGTGTTTGTTTGGCCGCTGCAGTCGATTCGGCCTTCGAGCTCGGCATGCATCAAGGGACGTTTGCGATTCTTGCGAGCAACGGGGATCCAATCCGCGCAGAGACTCTGCGGCGCACCTGGTGGGAGCTCTTCGTAATTGAGGGTCTCATGACTGCCCTCGGTGTGCAGCGCGAGTACCGAACCAACCAAGTACCGCTCGAGGTCTCACTTCCATGCGAGGAGCGGATTTATCATGACGCCCTCCCACCACCACCGCCCCCGACCATTGCGCAATTTGACGGGCGTGTGTTTGCGGATGAAGAGCGTGACTTTTCCTCCTACTGCTATCGCATTGAAGCCATACGGATTCTCGGTCGTGTGGTGGCGATGCAGGATATGACCGAAGGTCAACAGGACCAAGTGGAAGCTCTTGATGCGCGGATTGGTAGTTGGGGCCATCACTTGCCAGAGTCCAAGGAAGAGCTCTTGCGACCCGACGGGAGCGTGGATGAGATCATGTTCCAGGCGACCATGATGTTGAACGGCGCAGCCATCTACCTCAACTTCCCGCGGTCTGATCTTCTTTCGTCTCCTGCCGTTGCCGCGGAAGTCATCTGTGGCCACCATGGCCCGATCAGTGTGCCTGCATTCTCCCACAACGAGCATGCCATGAAGGCCGCCAAGGCCGCCCGAGAGCTATCCCGCCTTGCTGCCTTCCGTCTGCCCGTTATCAAGCACACCCCATTCTTCATCTGTGCGCTCACTCTGAGCTCCATTGTCCAACTGGCCACCTGTTCGGTCAAAGCCGGTCAAATGCCCGACCCTAGCCGGGACCGTCTCGCCTTAACGATCGGTGTCTTCAAGTCATTGGCTCGTACTTGGGCCATTTCCCAGTCGATCATGCGGCAGATCAAAGCCGTTGCACGGGATGTGATGGACCTGGGACTGCGTCCCACAATGGACTCGCTAGATCTGACGACGGTTTTAGATAACAGTCAGTTCTGGGTGGATCAGAGCCCCAGCTGAGAAAAGGAGATATGACTTACCTTTCCCGACCTTTCTAACGTTTCACGTCGTCTATATTCGCGAATTCTCCACAATCGTTGAACCAAGTCAAGAGCGTGCCCATCAGCCTTCAAAGCGCTGTATTCACCTCTACCAAAGCCACCGAATCCCCCTTGTAGGGCTCTAGCCCCCTTTGGGGGCTTACAGACCCAAGTACCCAAGTCCGAAGTATAAGAGTATAAAGCTGTATCCGGGTCCGGAGGGAGATTGTACGGTTTTCGGCTTTGTATATACCAGGCTTGATTTGCACCTGTATAACTCGTAAAGGTCCCATATTGAGACCATTAGGCTTTATCTTTATGAAGATGCAATATTCACTATGTTGTCACCATTTAGTGAACTCGTGTTCATAATTATCTTATGAGGTTTAGGCTGTTCTAGGTGGGATTGGCAACATGTAAGCCTTATTTAACCCGAGTAAGGCTCCAATTTCCTCTTCATAGTCTTCTTACCTCTCCTTTGATCATGGATCCTTATAACACCAAGGAAGCTGTCCTCCAGCTCGGTCTTATCAACCCAGAGATGGACGAGGTACAAGTAGAACTTGCCTTGAAGCCTTACACTCATTAACAAATTCGCAGATATTCAAGAACAACCCCCCTCTCGACCTGTCTTCCTTGCCACCAGAGGTTCTGTCTCAAGGCTCAGCAGTGAATGAAAAGGCCACATCTGATATGTACTCGAGACACGGAACTCAGGAGATATTGATGAGCATTCCTATGCGAGACGGTCATGAAAGCGAGATTCGCGTGATTCAACCCAACGCACAGCCTAATACCCCGCTCATAATTCTGATATACGGTGGAGGATTCTTCTCTGGCACGAATATCCAACTACTTCCCTGGGCAACAGCAACGGCTGCACTTTATGGGACAACAGTGGTTCTCCCTTCTTACAGATTGGCACCACAGCACAAATTTCCCATTTCCCATAACGATATTTGGGATAGTGTAAAATGGATTGCTGCCAATGCCTCTTCGCTAGGCGCTGACCTCTCCAAGGGCTTCGTCATTGGTGGGAGCTCAGCTGGAGGAAACCTGGCAATCGTCACTGCACATCGCGCCATGAGAGAGAATCTCTCTCCGTCGTTGACAGGTGTAGTGGCTATTGTCCCGCCCTGTCTGGATGAGCAGATTGTGCCAGAGAAATACAAGCACTTATGGGTGTCACGCGAGCAAAACGCCAACTCACCATTCTGCAGTGCGAAGGATATCGCACTCTGGACAAGCTGATGGGAGCCAGACTTCCAGTCTGTTGATTTTTCGCCGCTGAATTCGGACATATCACTTGCTGGGATGCCACCAACTTATGTGCAAGTCGATGGGATGGATACGCTACGTGATGATGGATTGATCTACGAGAAAGTCCTTCGCGACCATGGTGTTGCTACTCGCCTTGATGTTTATCCCGGTATGCCGCATGCTCATTGGATGTGGCCTGAGCACTCGCTATCTACCAAGTCGCACATCGATACTCTATCTGGTATTGGGTGGTTGCTTGGCCAGGAGCTTGAGAGAGACGAGGTTGAGCGCCTCTGGAATACGGCACATCAGATGAACAACGACAGCATTACTCATTGAAATATGGAATATATAGGAAACACCCAACGCCAGAAATCACATTCTCCTTATTCATAAATCCACCCAAAACCGAGAAACTACCCAGACTATTTGTACTCGCGGAGATACTTCAGTCGTTTAATAGCCAGAGAAAAATCCTCATCGGTAGTGACCGTGGTTGCACGCCTGCCACCAGGAATGGAAGCCATCAATTCCTTGGCCTGCTTCAGCTCTGAATTCAGGACTTCTTTGAGATTGAAGTGCTCATGTTCAATCGTACGCGATTGCAGTGTACCTAAATGAGAGGCTTGGTTAGCAACGCTGACTACAAGGTAAAACGCATAGTCTTACGATCGACTTTGGAAAGGTGCTTATTGGCCTGGACGATTGCACCCCAGAGAGCGCAGACTTCTGCCACCTTTCCAAACGTATCGTTGCGGATCCAACCTAAAAGACCGTTGAGGAGGTCGGCCTCTTGTTCATTTGTTAGTCTCGAGATATGCTAGAGGAAATGTAATAGAGAGACTACCTTTGGACTCCCTAGATAGCCTATAGAGATTCGGTATCTCCGCTGCCATGCGCTCATAATTCATTTTGGCGAGTCAAGTGAAAGACAATATAGAAAGACGGTGTTATATGTTATCAAAGGAAATGGGTGAGATTATATAGACCGAAGGAGCATCATAAAATGCCACAACCTTTGGCTTTCAAATCAAGATAGAGTGACCGATGGAATATATCCAGAGGAAAGTCTTTGAACAAAGCCAAGTCGATGTATACATCTATTTCAAGAACAAAGAATTTGGCCACACGTTTTGCATCTCCTCTAATTTCGACTTTCACTCGAGTTATTTGACTTTTTATGGCCTTGGAAATATGTGACAAAGAAAATTCTTTCCGGTCAGAATGGCTGAGATAGACCGAGGAAGAACAAAGAGAATGCTGACTCGGCCCTTCGAAGTTGATCACCGTAGAAAAAGAGAGAGGGATTCCCTCTTCAATACTCATTCGATCTCTTCTGAATCAGTATCCTGGTTTAACTTCAAATGGCCTCTCAAGATATCCCTCCCCGGATTTCGTGAATCGCATGGAAAAAGTTCCAGCACCATATCTGAGTGAACAATATAGCTATACCAAAGATGGTAGGTGAAACAGAATCCCACTTCAAGACAAAAAGTTGACAGATATTGGCAGGACTGTCTTGTGCAATGATTTCCTGGATGTTAGACCTAAATCTCAGAGCAGCAATCAAGAAGCGCGAGTTCCAACGCACGTATCAGAGACTGTGCCTTTACATCAAGCATATGGAGCGTACGTTTGTTAGAATCTTGAACAAGCCAGAGAAGTAAGACTGATATGCAGCAGGCCTCATGGACCAAGCCAATATCAGCTATGACGCCTATACCGGCACGGAAGACGGTCGAAGAATGAAAATAGCCAGAGAGAGCTTCAAGCCTCAGTTGAAGGCCAGGTTTATGCCTACAGCACCATATCCAGTCACAGCTCCTATCAGCACCGATGGAGAGCTCTGCAGAAGCGTCTCGGATGCGCAAACGTTTGAGTACAAGCTTCACCAGTTGGAGGTCATTCGGCATATGGAGAGGGTTGATGGACCGGCATTGGCTGATTTCGAGTCGAGCACCAGACAGCCTAGACCCGAGACAGGCTAACTGGATGTTTGAGTACACCTTTGTTTGAATAGTTGAGATGATTTGGTCAATGCTTCCCTTCGCGGTACCTTTTTTTGTGGATATATGGGTTTGTCGTTTAACTGCAAGACTGGTTGTTCTGCTTTTGGAATTTCCATGGGTTTAGTCTCTTTGCGAAAATGAAAGAAATGAGAAAAATCACAGCTGCAAGTAAATTAGCATTTGTAACAAGGACGATCAACTTGTTCCTAATATCGGGATTTACAGTGGGAATCAAGCTAGAGCCATGTTAGTCACTTCGGGGCCGTGAAGGGCTCATGATGCACAAGAATGATAATAATGAAGAAGATTTTGATTTCATTCAAACAAGTCTAACAGTGCTGCCGCCCAAGTGTAAAATCCAGGGGTATCTCAAATGCTGGGTTGGTGTATGAGACGAGCAACAAGAACATCGGCTATGTCAACATGTGCTTTCGCAAAACAAAGTAATGAGGGAAATAGCGCCAGGCAATGAAAAAAAAAAAAAAAAATAGAAAATAGAACAGAAAAAGCCAAAACTCCTTGCCTTATGCTCAGGTCGTATCGGCATTGCGTGAAAAATGTAGGGGGAAATGAATGAAAGACCATGACGAGAAATTCCATATCAAAGGTCTAGATGCCTGCACTGCTGCTCAATTCGCGCATTTCTTGCAGGGCAACAGCACGGCGTGCAACGACATCTTCGCGGCGGACTACATTGCGCAGTGCTTCACTGGCTTGAATCAGGCCGTCGATACTGATCGCATGATTGGTCATTTGGTGGTTGATGTATGTATAGAGTGCGGCCGGCGTCGAGCAGGTAGTCAACAACTGCTGCTCGTTGAGCTTGAGAAGTGCAAGAGCAACTTGGAACAGGAATGTGCTTCCGCCTCCGCTGCCAGAGGTATGGTTTTCGTCAACCTTGGTAGTCTTGTCATTGCTCTCTTTAGTACCAGAGGCATTTGACCCGGAGGCATTGACTGCGCTGGTCACATTGAGACATAGAACCACATCCCATACGCGATACAGTGCCTCCGCGGAGAGACAGTCTGTAAAGACAGAGAGGAACCATTGGAAGGTGAGTGCCTCTAGTTCAATCCCCAGTTCCTCTAAATGGGCCGAGAGTTTGGGGAGTAGCTCTGAGATGTACTGGCGCAAGACTACCTGATCGGCACGGGAGGCAAGCAAGCCATGGTCATAGTAGTGCTGGGGCAAGATAATCTCGATCATCGAAGTCAGAATCCAAAACGCATCCTCGGCAGTGGGCATGATGAGCAGCAAAGACCCTGCGATGAGGTTCATGCCCTGACAGTAGCCTACTTCTGGGTTACGGCGCGAGTAGGCAAGCAGAACCTCTTTCAGCTTGCCGACACCAGGTCCTTTGCGGAAGAAGACATTATCGGTAAGAGTGCGGCGTATATCCATGTCGATTTGTGCGACGACGGAAGGGTCGGGGTCCGACCCGCCAACACCATGCACGAGGTCATCATAGTAGCCAGGAATTCGCATTGCCGAAGCCCCGCTGCATTCCGACCATGTTTTGGCGCGAAGGGCAACTGGGATGCCGCCAAGGACGAGCATCCGGAATTCTCGCCACTTCGCTCGGCCAACCTTGCCTTTGTTACCCAGACCCGCGATGCCTACAACTTCGCCGTCGGCGAGTGAGACTTCTGGGGTGTCAACGGCAGCAAGGGATCGATCAGAAGTTGCTGCAGCGGCTGCCGCTTCGCCCTCCTTTCGGCGTTCAGCACGCACTTTGCGAAGGAACTCGTTCCATCTCACGGTTCGGTCGCGTTGCAGGGTATCATGGAGATCGGTCAACTGTTCCAATAACAGTTTTACGGGTTCCATCTCTGCGACAGTGAATCTGGCAGCTGTGTCTTTGAGCTGATCCGATGACAAGCCAGCGAATTCAGGGCTGTCGGCCGTGATAGCCGAGGTAGACGCCGATGGTTGAGCGCTGGCGCCAACGGCCAACGCTCCGTCTTTGTCATATGAAACAGACGAGCTATGAGAGCGATTTTCTCCTGCGGTGGTCAAAGAGATAATCGGGCCTGCGGAGGGCGTGTGGGACAATAGCTCCGTGGGACGGGATGGGATCCTTAGATAGTCCTGCCAGCGACGGATAGCAACAGCCCCACTGTCAAGATCATCTGGTGAACCAGGCAGAGAACGCGAGCCGTCGGAAGGCCCTTGCCGAAGTTTTGTGATTTCGGGGTCATCCTCATGATCTGACGCATCGGTTCGAAGAGTACCAAGAGTTTCGGTCATACTCAAACGGTGGATGCTGCTCTTGGTAACATTGGCTTCTCTCTGGCGCTTCTTTCTATGTTGATCATAGATGAAACCAAACCGGTCGGTGAGAAACTCACCCGCTTGTGAATTGTTATAAATAGGCGTGAGCGTCGGAGGCTTCAATTCCATGGGCAAAATGGCGTCCATCTCGACAGGTCCAAGACTTGTGGAGCCTCTATCGCCTCTATCCGTAGTCTCCGATGCGGCGCCCTGGGACACGCTACCGGCTGCAGTTCGTCGCGAGGCAGGAGGGTTCATTTTGCCCTGAACGCTCGATCCACTGGCAGATCGTCCAGTAGGAGGCATACTGGCATTGCTGTTGATTCTCTTTAGTGCGGCCACTGCCGACATTGAACCCTTAGAATGGCCAGACAGTGTAGAAGAAGCACTTTTGTCTCCGTCTGGCCTTTTGGGTTGGGGTCTATTCTGGGCAGACTCGGCATCACTTGCTTCTTTGGTCGACTGAGGATTGCCAGCAAATAACTTAACAGTCCAAGAGCCGAGGGATCTTGAAGATTTGCGAGAATGAATACTTGCATCGTCACCATTTGTGGACGTGCTAGCAATGCGCTTCGCCGGTCCGTTCTGTGCTGGCCCATCCGGGGGCTGGAATAGCTGCTCATCAATCGCTTTGCGTCGCATTGCAGGATTGCTGGGCACTCGGAGACGCTCCGCCTCTTCTTCTCCAAGTTCACCAACGTCACTCATAATGCTGCTAGCGCGACTAGTTTTCCGGCTTGTGTTGGTCGAGCCAAAAGGTACTCCTGCCAGCCCCGAATCGAGCTTTGACGCTTCCGGTTGTCAGTGGTTCCGCTGCCGCGGGGATCATTGTCTGACCGCTGGGCACGAATTGTAGCCTGGGCTTCTGCTGAGTCACCGTAAGGCCGAGAACCCACGGTGTCTTCCATAGCTTGAGACATCAATCCATTTAGGCCAGAATAGGTTTGACCAGCATGATCGCTGCTATGAGTGCTTTCTGCATCCGAAACACGATCGCCCGGCGGATTCTCTAACTGATATAGACGACGTTCAATGTCTTGGTTGGACACAGACACATCTCGTAACATTCTCTTCAGCTCTCGCTCCCTTGCATCAGCACGTTGGCGTAGGGCCGAGATCTCAGCATCCCGTTGAGCCAGATCGCGAGCGAACTGCCTCACCATTTTCACGGCTCCTGTTCCAGCAACCAGCCGCTCAATGTGCGCATCATCGGCCAAATGCAGGGCACCTGGGATATCATGTGTGGGGACCGAATCGGCAAAGAGGGCAGCTCGGCCTGATTTGTGCGACGGTCCAGTCGTCAAATTTGCTAGCGTAGCCTTCCGCCCCCGGCCAGTCCTGCCTCCATTCGGTTCCTCTCCATCTTCACCGGAGAACAATGTATTTGTCAGGCCACAGGCGAGGGTTGAAGATTTGTCTGGGGGTGAAAGCGAGGGGAACGAGGTCAAATCGGTTGTTGTGTGGGAGGAGCCCGAATGGCGTTTCTGCATTTTGGCTCGAGCAATTTTAGCATTTCGACTTCTGCTCGAGGCACTTGACGCCTGGGACGAAGAACGCCGCTGGGAGTGGACGTCGGAATCTGCCATGACTCAACAACCGGGCAATGGCGTGGACGGTGGAATCGTTGATTAATGGCTTCATGAAGGCTTTTCTGAGATTTTTCGGAGCTGGGTGAATTGGAAATGGCGTCCAGGCTAGCCAGACAAATAACCAACTAGTTTATGTAGCTTTCTGATACTTGGCTGGTCTTGTCGGGCGTGCTTGGCGATCCTTGCTGTAGCGATCTGTGGATGGAATGAAGGGAGATCGACCGTGATTTTCAGGGGCACGGATTTTTCAACCCTAGGTACCCTATTTTAGGACCAACAAAAGCATGAGAAAGCAAAGAGCACAGATTTGGAGTTATCCTGAAACCCACAAAGACAGCTCTGATACCCTACGGCACATGACGTGACCATGCAATTGTCATGTGACTCGATTGCTTACACTATCGCACGTGATTAGTCTGCCATACTGGTCCCTATGCTCTGTCGTAGTCATGGGAGCCTCGGCTCTCCGCATAACCGACATAGTGGGGAAAGCTGAGAGCTGTTATAACTACAAAGCTGCCTCAATTGAAGCTTTTCTTCTGGCGCTTTCAATTCGTTCTTTTATATTATCAACTCTATCAAGACTCAGAGCTTAACCAGTATGTCTGCTGTAGCCAAGCAACGTCTTCAGGCCCTGAGCAAACAGCTCGTTGAGGGCATTCCCTCCGAGGGCACGTTTGAAGATATCCCCAAGATCCGTCATGTTGCCTCTGATTCGGCAGGACCGTAAGTAATCTTGAAGCTTATAGCTGTATTTTGGTTTAGCGAGCTTCTAGCATTGCATTCGTTGCAAGCTTACACATATCTAATGACTGAATCTACAGCCGAGTCAAGGACAAGGTAGTAATCGTGACCGGTAAGTAGTAATACTCCCAACTTCATTTCAGAACCACCATGCCAATTAAATCACAGGTGCAAACTCTCCCAATGGCATCGGCCGGGCCAGCGCCCACCAATTCGCCAACAATGGCGCCAAAGCAGTCTACATCTGCGACTTCAGCGACACCCATCTGGCAACGCACAAGCGGGAGCTAGAGTCTCTCTACCCAAATGTAGATATCCACGTGCGGCCATTTGATGCAGCCGATGAAAAAGCCCTGAGTGGAGTCATCGACGAAGCAATCAGCAAATACGGCCGACTAGACGTCTTCTTCGCGAACGCAGGCGTGGTAGGTCAACCGAAGGTATTCACCGAGATCGACGGTGAGGGATTCCTAAACACAATGCGAGTAAATGCTCTCGGGTACGTACATCCTTCCCTAAAACAAGACAAGCTTAATTCTCCGAGACGGAAAACAATCTAACCAACCCGGAACAAACAGCGTCTTCTTAGCAGCCAAACACGCGGCCCCGGCAATGAAGATAACCTCGGCCTCAAAGCCATATCCAAGTGGCTCAATCATCGGCACAGCGTCTGTAGCAGGTCTCCGCTCCAACGCCGGTTCAACCGACTACTCCGCCTCAAAAGCAGCAGTCGTATCGATCGCACAGACGGTCTCGTACCAGCTCGCTGGGACGGGTATCCGCATAAATGCAATCTGCCCCGGTCTAATCGAAACGGGGATGACGCAGACTGTGTTTGATCGGGCGCGCGAGCGCGGCACGGAGCGCAAGGTCGGACAGTTGAACCCGTTGCAGCGGGGAGCTGTTGCTGATGAGGTTGCGCGTGTTGCACTGTTCCTTGGTAGCGATGAGAGTAGCTACGTTAATGGGCAGGCTTGGGCGGTTTGTGGTGGTTTGAGTGCTGGACATCCTTTTGTGCCTGGGAAGTTGGCTTGAAATGAGTCCTAGACATTGGGATGCATTTGAGTGATGTACATAGTCATGGTTAGCATATCAATCTGAGGATTGACTTGAGTGATTCCATAAGTCTTTCGAAGTTGCTTTGGCTACGATGGGTGTAATTGGCAATTTTACAAAAATTCAAATTCCCAGAATCAATTTTAGAAGACAGGGAATTATATAGACCCTGATAAATGAGATCAATCCAGATCAAGGGCTGTAGATAAATAGGAAATATCCGCAGACAGTGCGGATGGGTGCAAAGTGGAGGGCTCAAGAGGAGCGCAAAGCAAACAAAGCCGTTCCATCCCAGACGGCACGACATGTAAATAAACGATTTCCTCGGGGAACAGGGCAAAAATAAACAAAAAAGGAGAAAGGGGGGGGAAACAAGACCGGGATGGCAAACATGGCCATAAATTATTGGACAAGAAAACACGACACAGTGGTCGGGATATAATGAAGATCAAAAAAAAATAATCGACACGAGAAGCAATAAGAAATGACGAATACGCCAGACAACCAGAGCGAATGTGCGTATTCAGGATACTGCACAGATGAAGTAGAGAAAAATGCCTCGCCAGACAGAAGGAATGGACAGAGAAGAGAAGGGGGAAAAAACACAAACAGGATCGTCTCAGTCAAGCGTTGCGTCATCTAACCTGAAAAGCAGATGATCTAGATCACCCGTGCGGTAGAGGGCCGCATGAGATCCTCGCTATTTTGCTTGGACAGAGTGCCGCGCTCAGTCTGCTGGTCATCGACGTTCTCAGTCTCGTGAGCGTGCTCATCATCGTCCTCAACGATCCGGGTCGGGATATCGCCGGGGCCGTACTGCTGACTTGAACGCTCGGGGAAAGTCGAGCTGCTGACCATAGACATGGAAGTGCTAGAGCGGTTGTGGACCAGATCCGGGGTCGGGGGGATGCTGGAGTGGCGGTTGTCCGGGTGGAGAGAGCTGTGGTCTGCGTCGCTGATCTCGCTAGGAGCGCGGCTGGAGCGACCCTCGTAGTCGCAGCCGAGACGGTCGTTCTGGTGAAGCTTGGAAGAGATCGCGGACTCTTCATCGTCCTCGGCGTCCTGGGCCAGGTGCAGGCCTTCGACGGCCGCGGCGCACTGGTCGCTGATGCTGCGGATGATATCTGCAATGGCATCGGTCTTGTCGCGCAGGTAGCGGTCTGCGACATCTGTGATGCTGAGACGAGCAAGGGTCTTGTGATCCTTGCCGAGGTTCAGCAAATGCTGCTCCAACTCGGGCTTCATGTGATTTACCAGAGAATTGTCACCATTGACATCCTTAGCCGTCTTGACAGACTCCTTTGACCCAGCGACCGACACATCCTCCCTGAGCTCCTCGGGGGCGTCTTCGTAGCCCTGCTCGACCATTTCAGTAATCTCCGACCTGCTACCAATGGAGCGGACGATGTGCTCCATGTGGTGGCTCTGGCCGTTGATGAGGCTGCGCAGGTGCATGACAACGCGCTGGGCATCCTCACGCTCACGGGCGAGGGTCGCGTTAGTGTGCGAGAGGGCAGAGATCTCCTTCTGGTTACGCTTGCGCTCACGTTCGAGCTCTTCGGCAATCTCCTGCTGAAGGACCAGTGCCTCGAGAGCATCGTCACGCTGCTTCTCAGTGCCAGACAAGCGCAGAGTAAGACGAACCACATCGTCCTTCTGTTGGTCAATAAGACCGGTGAGGCGACGACTCTCGCGCTTGTGGTTTTCGATCTTGACCTTAAGCTCCGAGGTCTCCTTGGTGAGCTGTTCAGCAAAGGCCTGGAACTTGAGGAACTGTTGCTTCCAGGTCTCGAGCTCCTCGACCAAGAAGTTGTTGCGCTTGGTGACCTTGCTGAGCTCGGTGTCCATTCTGCCCTTGAGGTTGATGAAGTCTTGCCAAGCTTCCATGGCATCCCGAGAGTACTGGTTGCGCTCACGGACAATCTCGTTGAGGTGACGCATGGACACCTTGGTCATGAGGGGCTTCTTGACGGAGCCACCGAAGATGGCCTTCATACCAGTGTTGCGGCCCTAATAGATCGAACGTTAGTTTCGCTTGTGGTTAGTGGCAAGTTGAAAGGCGGGTAAACGTACCAGCTTCTCACAGACATGGTCCATGACGCCCATGACGGCATCCTGGTTCCACCATTGGGGCTCTTCGATGCTCTCGACCTCTCCTCTCATGACGATGATCTGGCCAGCCGGGATGAGCTTACCGCCAGCGTAGGCGGTACGCAGGTGTGGGGGCACACCGGAAGGCGAGACATCACCATTTAGGGATTGGGTCATGCGGTTGATAAACTTGGTGCGCTGGCCCTGGTTCAGCACATTAGGCGGGCTGGAGGTGAGGACAAAGTTGCGATCGAGATCGACCACGAGGGCATCAGATGGGGCGTTGAACAGAGTACGGCACTCGGCAGTGATACCCAGAATGTAGGGACCGGGCTCCTGGACCAGCTCCTTGACGTGACGGGCGTGAACCACGGGCACGTACAGACCACTCCACTCGTAGACGCGAACGCAGTAGCGAATGGTTTCCGCAGCGACCGTCAGCATCGCCGGGTAGTGGCTGACGAAAATGATGCGGCGGGTAGGCGAGACCGCAGCCTCGATCACGCCGACGATGTTTGGGATCGACAGACAAGTGAACAATGGCCACATGGCAAAGTTCTGGAAGCCGGTGGGCGACGAGGGGAACTGATAGCACAGGGCATAATCCTTCATATCAATGCGAACCAAGTCATTTAGACGGGGGGCCGGGAAGCTGAGGATGCGGGAAACCTCCTCGGCGTGGAACAGGTTGGTGGCCTTGTTCCAGTGGATCCACATACCACGGAGGTAATCACCTAGCAGATCGTAGAGGGGGTAACGGGAGAGGAAGCTGAGGCAGTAAGGAATCCAGTAGGTCTCATCGGGGTTATCGTAGAAGTCGGGCTCTGTCTTCTTGCGTAGCTCGCGGATGGTCTCTGCGCGCTTCTCATCGGCACGGGACCAAACGCGCAGCGCGATACCGTACAAAGTGTGAGAAGAATCCTGTTGCAAGACGAAGGCGTGGTGTGCACAGTGAGGCTGGCTCTTGCCAGTGCAGATCTCCACGTCGTGAGGGAAACATGCTCGCATAG